TTTCAGTTACCTCCATTCTCCTTTCTGGAACTCAGATACTGTATACGTACTGTAATGTATTTTTCTTTTTATCAGTCTTTTTTTACAGTAGCCTGTTGTCTTTCTTAAGTTAGTCTTTATCAGATTTGAAATAAAAGATTTAATATCTGTACATTGTAAATAGCAAAGAAACCTCATTGTCATTACTAACCATGTCTGAAAATAGTTGTCATATACTGTACAGTATCTCTAGAGCCCTCACTTGTTTGAGACACAATTTTATATGGGAATTAAAAGCTATTAAGAATGGCTGTAAGTCCAACAGTGTTTCTTACTGTTAAATAAGTTGAAATTTGTTGGTAAGAAAGAATAAAGTATCACCCAGTGTTTTTCTCCTTTAATACACTTCCTTATGAGTTACTAAGAGAGGTGTTAAAATCAGAGGTGAATGGTAACAAAATTCAGTACCTGTATAGTAGTTATTCGATACTGTACACCACTGGTAAAAATGGCAACATGACATCGAAGGTCTCAAATGTAGTGTCAACAGTTTCCTTCAGTTATTGGAAGAATTTACACGGGTACGTAAATTTTTCATCAGAAACAAAATGCAGTTAATGCCTTACATTGTACAATATGTCATCACCATGGCCTAGTTGTGGTACGGTAGGTATATCAACACTTCCTCCAGGTTGTTTGGGGAAGTTCATTGAACAACAGCCATTGACACAAAAAGTAACTGAAATTCATCTAAATACTGTACTTTACCATATGCCTAGAAGATCTACAGTAATCCCCCACATTATGGAAGGAATGTGTTCTTGATATATTTACCAATTTATCAAACTCAGTAACATGAACTCCGTTTTCCCATTGGATTCCATTATAAAATTGGAGGTACACTCCAAAGGAAAATATTTTAGCCAAAAGATATACCGGTAGTGTACACTCGAACCTTACTAATTCAACATCCTTGGGGTTCTACTCCATACGAATCACACATAAAATATAGATTACAGTAGCAAAAAGCACTCATTTAATGTTGCATAGGTAAAATGTGCTGCAACTGCATGAGGAATTCCGCCGAGACATTAATAGAAAACACATGGACTGTATAGACTAGAGTGCATCTTGGGTCAAGTACACAGTTGACCCTAGCTTAAGTTGGAGCTAACAGTTTAGTATTGTATGGAATATTATTGGTTTATATTGAAGAATCTGTATCATCATCATCATCGTTTTATGGCCATTTCCCACACTTGTATGGGTTACCTGATGACAGCTGCTGAGTAAAACCAGAATAGGATGTCCCCACCTGCAAATCCAAGGTGCCAGTCCAGAGACCAGGGGATGGGCACAGCTCTGGTGACACAGTTGCCATCAGACATGTTGAAGCAAAGTTTTATGGTTGGATGCTCTTCTTAATATCAACCCACAGGTGGGAACAACTGGCAAGGCAGGGTCACAACTTCCTGAGGTAATCAAAGACTACCCCGCTTACCTGGGTACAGATAACACATACAAAGAAACATATACAAGAAACATATACAGGTAAACCTCTATCTATGATGTCCCAATCTATGATATGCTGATATATTAATACCATTTCTCTATGTGCAATGTAAACAAACTCGAGTCGACGATATTCGTCATTCCGTCAACTTGCCCAGTCAGAATATGTAATGCATCACTTACTTCATTAGTCAGCTGAGGTGTCATCTACCCGAGCGCCACCTCGTGGTCATCTGGTGAACTACAATCTATCCATTGTTTCTTGGTTACATATGAGTAAGAAATGAATGTCAATGTTAATGTTGTACACTGTTTCAGTGACTGCAAAGGGATTTGCCTCTTGTGAACAAAGGTGAGCAGCAGCATCCGGTATGTTATCAGTGTTTGTCTCTTACAGATACAGAAAATTACAAAGTTTCATAGTGTACTGTACTATACTGTACAGGTACAGTACATGTACTGTATTCAGTTTTAGTGACTGTGAGATGTTTTGGCTCTGACTGCGAAGTGCTTTAGCGAGTGGTTGAGTGGACAGACAACATCACTGTTATATTCCTGCCCCAAACACCACCTCACTCATCCAACCAATGGATCAGGGGGTCATTGCCACCTTCAAGGCCTACCACATGAGGCAGTTGATGACACAGTTGTTTGAAGCAACAGATGGAGAGGGAAAGCTGACTATCAAAGAATTTTGGCACAGCTACAACATCAAACACGCCATACAAAACATCGACAAGTCCTGTAGAGGAAAGTGTGGCCTGAGTGTGTAACCAACTTTGGGGGCTTCACAGATGTTGTAGCTGTACACCGTGACATCGCCAGCATCTCCAAGGAGACCGACTTTGAGGAGGTCTTTGAGGAGGTTGTGGCAGACGTCTTGAAGAGTCCCTCTTATGAGCTCAGCACCGAGGACTTGATGCTCCAGGAATAGCAGCAGGCTGTGGAGGAGTCAGCAGGTGAGTAGGAACAGCCTGTAAATCTTATGAGAAGGTCGTTCAGATATCTAGACGGTCTGTCCCTTCTTTAAATCTGGTCTTATGCCTAGAGAACGAGTACATGTTCCAGGGGGACATGAATCTAGATGGGCCCCAGACTCTTACATTGATGGCGTGTTATCCACCTACTTATTGCATAACAATCTGTGACCACCTTACCTCGGTCTTCCTTTTACACTATCCCTTAACACATCAGACTGCTCCACCTGTGTGGAATATAGCACCGTCGGTTATCATACATAGTAGCACCATCTCAACACACCTGTTACACTCCATACCTGCAAGTATGTGACTCCTTGTGACTTTTAGGTATACACAACAGGCACCTCGTTCGCACACCGCCCTCGGTGGGTAAAGACGAGGGCTTCACCTAGAGACATACCAGCACTATTTCTACGCCTGGTATTATAGGTCGCTCCAAGTGACGACCGCAGTTTCTCACGGTCTCCTTAGTTGTGACTATTCATTTGGAGTGGTGCGCTGGAAATCCACAGGTTCACAGTGGACTGGCATAGCGGGGAGTCGTCCCCACCTGTTGTGACGCTCAAAGGGACAATGGCGGCCGGGCGGCAAGGTACTCCGACCACATGGCACCTGAGGTGACGGTAGAACGAGGAAGACTGAGAAATAATGCCTGACGGGCGGTTATCCCACCCCTTAACACATTCCTATCACACTTATATATCCGGCAAAGCTTTAAACTGTAGTAACTTCTATTTATCAACATTAATTATAGGGCGGGATATAGCCCGCTAGGACACTGACCTGAGGTGACGGTAGAACGAGGAAGACTGAGGGCAGTGCCCCGCCGCTCCTCGTCACATAGGCCTACAGTTTCCAATCCTCAATTTACACTTTTGTTTCTTATGATTCTCACCTGAACACTTTTCGGTATATTGTCACTCATGCCTTATAAGCACATATTTTAATCCTAAATTACACACTAAGGTAAGGTCTTGGTTTGCTAGTGCTTGGGAGAATGCCTGGGATTATAATATCAACGTGGCATCTGAGGCGGGTACATGACGCGCCTTGAAACAAAGGCTGAATGTTCATGGCGGGGGTGTATCAACTTCACTTAAAACTGTAATGAGGGATCCTCCTCTCACACATTGCACTATTTGAACACAGACATAAGATTCTCTGATCACTGTACCTGTCGTGGGTATATGTCACGTGAGGCTACGAGGTGTATTAAATTCATACCGACGCATACACGATATTTCCTTTCAAGTATAGTTTCTGGATCACTGTCAACACCTCACATAGTTCTGATACATTTATCCTTTTTCCAGATCATTGTTCTCATGTATTTTCATATGATATCTGTGGAAGTTATGTTCGCTACACGCTCACAGACGTAAATAGTAGGACCTTCAAACCCTGATCCACACTTAGTCCTACAGTACACTAGTCCGGCTCAACTGGACTTTAACATTCATCTTATGCATACCCTAAGTGATCCTTAATGCTATGAATACATACACTTAATATGATATAACTATACCTGGGTACAATACAACACATGGTCTAGGAACCTTGAGTAGGTGAGTTGTCCTTTATCAATGTTTCCCGTTTTCTGAGGTTCTACAAGCGCGGTGCATTTGAATGTTATGTAGAGTAATATGAATTAAATGGGGTTTTTAGGAATGACAATGATGTGCGCAGTACATGAGTACCATTGCATTGTCAATTAAGGTTCTCGAGTTCCTTTGGTTTAATAAGCTACAGTTTGGGGATCTGTAGATATATCCGACAATATATCCTTAGTTTAATTTTACTCCACTTCGATTCTTACTTTATTTTTTTTCTTTTATTTCAAAATCATCCTCCCCTTGCACATCATCTGGGTAACTCTAAGGTCTTGCCTTGCCTTTGAAGTGTGGCGTTATATGCGAGTGCTGAAAATAAGCTACACAGACTGGAAAGCAAATGAAGAAGCATGAAGATTAGCAAAAGTTTCAAGAAAAATACTTGAAAATTAATAAAAGAATAATAAGAGAAATATTAATGGACAAAGTTGGGGTGGCAAGGGCCAGGGAAAGGCAGAGACTGGGATGGATGAATGAAATTAAAAATCGAGTCCCCAAAGAAACACAAAATATCTTGAAGAATTGGTAAAGAAAAAAAGTCCAAAAACGTTTGGAGTGGAGAGCTGTGGCCACCATTTAGATATGAGAACGGTACCCTGATTGATTAATTAGGATTTAATTCACCATTTATCGGCTTACTAGCCGTTCATGTGGTTGGTCCCTTATTTTATTACTTTGTTATAAACTTTATTGTCCAGTTATTGGTCGTGTCACACTGGATAACACCTTCCCACATATGTCTCCGGCTGGGAGTCAAACCCAGGACATACTCAAGAGCTGCACACCTCGGCACCACTACTCACTGTACCACAAACACCCATTAACATTTCTAACACTGATATACAGTACAGTATATTATTTGATTAGTTATATTTTAGGTTATCAATAGTAATTTATTATAGCATAAAAGCCATTGACTCAGTTTATTAACGTTAAGACCACTGCGCATCTCAGTCCTCAGACACAATACTTGTAAACAAAGTTAACAGGCAGAGCTCATCTTGGTTATGGACGATTATCACGTTTGTTTGTGACTGGAAAATAGCTGATGCAGGTTTGTAGGTTTATTATAATACCAGAAACTCATTTTATGTAATTTGGTAAAGCAGAGAGTTCTTTTATGGGTATTTTAACCTCTTATGTGTTGGCCTAGACCAGAAGGCTGCAGGCCTTGATTATTTTTCATTTGTCTTCTGGGAATAAACGAATACATTTATTTAACTGTAAGATTTAATGTTGAATGTAAGGAACTGTGTATATAGAGCTATTAGTGTATTATGTACTGTCAATCTGTGTTAAGAGGTTTTGAAGATGATAAACACGGTACAGGAGCTGCCCGAGTTCAATAAAACTGGTAAATACTCGGGGTTATGTCTGAATACAGCACTACTACCAGAAAGAGTTGGGTAAATTTGCAGTAGTTCACACAACTCTGTAAGAAAGTCAAAGCTACGTTTTTCTAGTGTATCTTTGTGTTTCGATTGGATTTGACCATCATTTCAACTTTGAAATTGCCCGTTTTTTAGTTATCGGGGGATTTTGGTGGGGCGTTTTCTGACAAAAATTATGGCTAAGCGAATACAAAATACACAAAAAACACTAGAAAAACATAAACCTGATCTAACCTAACCTAACTAATTCACTATATGATGGAATCACTCATTTCTTACCTTATTGGCCTTGTTCTGGTTCGTCATTGGATTCTGAGATTAGTACAGGTTGCTGATGCTGATACGTGCTTAACGGGGTGTATAGGCGGGCAGCTCGCACTTAGGACATTTTACCGAGGTCGGGAGAACACCATGAGATCTAAAAAATGCTATAGCTTGTTCGATTTTTTCCCCAAAATGCGCAATCAACTCCATATAATTGAAGTGACACCCATCGCAGACTTCCATGGTCGGAAATGAATTTGAATTTCGAAATATGAGACCCAAAATAAAAATAGAAATTGATTGGGCCAAAAATACTGCTAATTAAACCACAAATCATTTTAATTGGTGGCTAAAAAAAAATGCTTGTGAGTGGCCGCGTGACATGTACGGGAACGTATGCGCGTGACAATTTATGAAGGAGACGTGCAGTGTGGGAGGTGAGGTAGGCGAAATTGGTGGAGGATTAATGGAAGAAAATAGAGAGAGATTTTGGATGCGCTATCTCCGTTATTATACGTTTGCAATGGTAATGTAATAGAAGAAAATTATCTTATAATTAGCCATCTTTTTCGAATATGATAATAAATTTGGGGTAGGAAAGTTGTGCGCAAATGCAAAAATACCAAATCATGACCAAGCGAATACAAATTACACCAAAAAAAACGGTATTATTTTACTTTTGGACATAGTGCCCCCGAAAGTTATAAACTAATGCAACCTTTAGATCTCGCTATTCTGAGCATTTTGAACCCCATATATACATGGCGGAAATGGATAATAGCGACACAATTTAATTGAATTGATTTTAAGTAGTTTTTCAGTCTTTGTCTCCAAGATGATGTTATTGGCACATCACGCATGCACAATGTTGACTGATGTCATCTAGTCGTGACCAATGAGGTATCGATATCATCACGCAAATTTTTTTTCGAGCAATCACATGTGATTTTTTTTCAAAGGAAGCAGCCTGGGTACGATTTTAATTTCATTGACCAGTTTCACAATGGCCATGGTGAAGGTTGGTTGTTGTTTGTACTCCTATGATTATTTTAAGATTCTTCCCGAGTTTTACGAGAAAGACGATCATTCTAGCCAATTCTTACATACGGTATCCCTGCTCCTTCCACTTCTAACTAAGGTATTGTACTTTTGGACATGATGCCCCAATGTTTTTAACTATTGAAACAGTTATGTTAGTTTAAGCTAGGCCTACCCGGGGTCCAGGGGCAGAGCCCCCTGCTAGGGGTTAGGTTAGGCCTACTGGGGGTCCCGGGGCAGAGCCCCCGTGGCTAGGGATTAGGTTAGTTAGGTTAGGTTTTGTTCAGTCAGATGACTCGTTTTCATTTTCTCTCCCACCCAAAAACCCTGATTTTCCAGGCTCTCCCCCATTATTGTTGGGAGGGGGGGGGGCAAAAGCTAGCAATTTCCGCCAAAAATGAAGGTCAGATTCATTTAAAACACACCAAAGTACGTACACTGGAAAACATATTGGTCAATCCCTAGGGACACGTGTCCTAAAGTAAAAATTTACCCAAAACACGAGAAATTGAACCTTTTTTTGGATGACCTAACCTAACCTAAACGGACCTAACTTTCACCATATGATGGAATTACTTATTTCTTACCTTATTGGCCTGGTTCTGGTTCGTCATCGGATTCTGTGATCAGTACAGGTGGCTGAAGCTGATTCTTACCTGACGGGTCTTGGGAATAAAGAACGATTTACTACAATGCCAACTATGTGGTCTTGACGATATTTACACTCTTTCTTACACTTAGGACACTATTGAGGTCGGGGGAATACCATGAGATCTAAAAAATGCTATTGCTTGTTCGTTTTTTCCCAAAAATGCGCAATTATCCATATAATTGAAGTGACACCCATCGCAGACTTCCATGGTCGGAAATGAATTTGAATTTCAAAATATGAGATACCCAAAATCACAATCAAATCTGACTGGTTAAAAAATATCGCGAATTAAACCACAATTCATTTTAATAGGTGTAAAAAAAACCGCTTTTGATTGGCCGCGTGACGTGTATGGGAATGCACGCTCATGACGATTTATGAAGGAAACACTTGAGTGGGAGGTCGGGCAGGCGATAATGGCTGAAGATTAACGGAAGGAAATAGAGAAAGATTTGGCAGGTGCTATCTCCGTTATTATACGTTTGCGACAGTAATGTAACAAAAAAAATTATCTTAAAATTAGACGTCTTTTTCGAATATGATAATAGATTTGGGGTAGGAAAGTTGAGTGAACTACTGCAAAAATACCAAGAGTTGATCGATTTCGTAAATTTTTTTCCATGGGTGTTATTATCATTTTATAAGTATTTTAAAAGGGTAATTATGCAGTTCACAGCAACAACAGAATTCACTACACTCAATCGATAGAACTATTTTTTTCCTATGATTATTTTCTTATATTACATTTCTGTTGCAAATTGATAATAAGGAAGTTATTGAATTTTAAAACGAATAAAATCAGAGCACCTGTTGTCCCTATGTTGTTGCTCAAATTGTGTGTGTTCGTACATTCGCTTACCTCCTGTGTTTAGGGTTCTTGGCCAACAGCCAAGAAAGGGTGTTAAAAAATGTCATATTGCTAAACTGAAATATAGCTTAAGTGAATGAATGTTAAACAAGGGATAACTGTACAGTACTTCAACCTTATAAGAATTTCCATATTGCTATACAGTAGGCCCTTTAAATTCGCGGGGATTAGGTTCTCAAAATGGCTGCAAATCGCAAATCTGCAAATAACATTTGCTGACCAGGTGGGGGGGGGGGGTACACTTTTACTTGTGTACAAAGAACTGTATATTCCCTTTAGATGTTGGTGTTTGCCCTTAGGACAATTATTTCTTTTACCTGTATTGTACAGCGAGTTCTGCTATAACGCGTGTTTTGGCAATTCGAATTGGCTGTAATGCGATTGATGAATAGAAGAACAATATTTGTAAAACGTGAACGCGTGTTGGCTGTAACGCGATTCCACTCGAATGGTTGTTGTCGCTTGGCGCGGGGTTATGCAGTGTTTACAGTTCACGTTCGACTTCACATGTTCTTTTGATTTATGTGTTTTGTTTGTGAAGAATTGCAGAAATAATTTATGTAATATTTATGTACAGGTATACAGTATACCTGTACAGTATATGTAAATTGTAAAATTTTAAATGAGAGAAAAACAAAATACATAGCGTTTTACAGGTGCGCTTTCTGTTTAATTACACACGATCAGTTTAAAACGCGTGGAAAGTTTTTAAGCATCCTCATTGATTTTTGCTTACTGTTTCTCCAATTTTGTGACTATGGAAAAGAAGAATATCTCCAGGAAGCGTTCTGGTGATCGCATTTCCAGTGGTGATCGTAAAAGAAAGGCTATAACACTTGATGAAAAGCTTGATGTTGTGAAGCGTTTTGAAAATAAGGAAAGAACATGTGATATTGTGCATGCAACGGGAATAAAGGAGTCTACTTTACGCACCATTAGAGACAATGCAGGAAAGATTAAAGCAAGTTGTATTGCTGGAAAAACCTTGAGTGCTAGCAAAAGTGTGAGATCACGGCCAAAGGAACTTGAGGAGATGGAATGGCTTCTAAGTGTTTGGATAGAAGATCAAACGAAAAAGTGATCTGGGACCAGCTTCCTCACCATTAAAGAGAAAGCCTTATCAATATATGAGGACCTAAAGAAAAAAGTTGAAAATCCTGCTGATGTGATTGCCTTTAGTGCGAGTAGTGGATGGTTTTCTGGTTTTAAGAACCGCTATGCATTTCATAATGTAAAGTTATGTGGTGAAGCAGCAAGTGCCTGATACTGATGATGACGATGACAACTGTCAAATCCTGTCTGCATGACACCTCAACATAACCTTCTCCCCCATCAAGTTATATTCATATTTTTTCATGGTAAAGTGTAACATTTACTGTATGATTTCATTATTAGATATGAATGTAACATTTATTTAGACTGTGCTATCCTTTGTGTGAGGCTAACTACTAAATTTTTTTCGATTTCGAGTAATCTGCACCTAACCCTATTTTCTCCATAAGCCCTGTTATTTCTATTGCGCGAATTTCTAGAACGTGAGGTTTTGCAAGAACACAACTCGCATTATAGCAGAACTGACTGTATATATGTGTGTGTGTGCAGACATACACACACAAAACACATACAAATAAATAATAATGGGAAAATCTTCTCACAAATAATCAGAAACAAATGTAGTACTAAAAATGTTGAGTCTATCCTCAAGTCTACTCCATGCTTTGTTATTAATAAAGCACGGAGTAGACTTGAGGGTAGACTCAACATTTTTAATACTACATTTGTTTCTGATTATTTGTGAAAAGTTTTTTCCATCACAGTATTATTTATCTGTGTGTTTTGTGTATGTGTCTACACACACACGCATATATACAATACAGGTAAAGGAAATTAGTGTCTCTAGAATGAATGGCTCCCTGTCCTGGCCGCGAAAATGCTGGCAACTTTAAAACTACCCGCAGTCATTCTTGGGTACAACCAGGGTGTCATCCTCAAATAATAGAGGACCACGAAATAAAAATTGCGAATTATCAGGCCGTACTGTACAGTAACAATCTTACAAAATGTGTTTTGGTACAGTAGAGTAGTACTGTATTGCAATGTCCAATGTATTATAATGTTGAATAACGACTTCCATTGCGAAAACAACCTCATCAAATCCTCCGGTGCCATAACAACCACACAATCTCCCATTTTGTTACAACAACCTGCTGGGGTTGTGATAACACTGGAGGATGTTGCAACATTGCAGGTTGCTATAGGACTATGTATTATTTCTCTAAGAATGTTATATTGTTATAGCACTGGATGATTTTATGAGGTTATAGCTCTAGACTCTAGAGTCTAGAGGATCTTAAATAATTCTGGTGACTTTGTTAAGGTTGTACTGTAATGGGAAGGTTGTTATAGCACTGTTGAGTTTATTTGTGGGTGAAATAGTCCTTGAGGTTTTTAAAAGGATTCTAAAATCATTATGGAGATTGTGTATGGAGGATGTGTATCATTGCAGAGGTTGTCAAAGCACACTGTGAAAGTCTTTAAGGTTATAATAGCAATAGACTATAAAATCTTTTATTCTGTTGTTTCAATACTGTTGATGTAGTTACAGCATTCTAAAAAATGTCAGTGTTGTAGTAACATGGAGGTTCTTATAACTTTGCTATTGTTACAAGTGTAGGGTTGTTAAAGCCCAATGAAGGTTATCATATCATTGTGAAGATTATTCTAGTATAGGTGTTGGTATTATATTGTATAATGGATGTTTTACAAAAGCAGATAATATTGTACTGTATTGCTAGTTTCATATTTGGTATGTCCTGAAATTAATGTAATTTACTGTTTCAGGTAACTCAAATATGATAGCAGTTCTAGGAGGAGGTGTCAGTGGCCTTGCTGCTGCCCACTACCTGAATTGTCTTGGCTTATCAACCAAGATACTTGTGATTGAGGCTTCAAACAGATTAGGTGGATGGATCAACTCGCTGAAGCATGAAGATGGTACCATATATGAACTCGGGCCTCGGACTCTCAGGTATCATCAGGCATATTTTCTGTAGTGTGCGTGCGTGCGTGTATGTGTGTGGGGTATCTTGCAGGAGGGGTTCAATGAATTGGAACTAAGCAATCATGGTGTTTCACTAGGGTTGGTAGGCGTGATTGTGGGGCATTTCCTACCTATTATGGTAGGCCTGATTTAATTATATCCTTCGAAATATAAAATTAGTTCATTGCAGTTTGATTGGTGAATAACAGTATGCCTCATGAGCTTTTATCAAAAACCTTCATTCTTGGTGTCATTTTTTTTCACACAAGAAATGTATATACAGTACAGCGTGCCCTTAAAATTCGAAGTGTGGGGGGGTCCTAGGTTCTTAAAATGGTTGCTAATAACATTTGCTGACCGGGGTTACATTTTACTCATGAGCAAAGAAATCTATATTCCATTTATGTGTTTGCCCTTAGGACAATTATTTCTTTTACCTGTATTGTATATATGTGTGTAGACACACACACACACACAAAACACATACAGTACAAATAAATAATAATAGGAAAATCCTCTCACAAATAATCAGAAAGAAGACAGCAAAATGTATTAAAAATGTGAGAGTATACCCTCAAGTTGGGTTGTTGAACATGATGTTTTAGAGATATTTGGCTATTGTTTATTGCGGCTTATAAGTTGACCTGGTCTATAAGACGACAACAATTATTTCAACTGACATTATTGATCTAGGCCAGAGGTCTGCAGCCTTTATATACTAGTTGGCCACGTAACTGGCAAGTACTCAGGCAACTTAAGTCAACAATGCATTCCACATGATTGAATGGGCAATAAAAAATTCAGACTACAGTTGGTCCTCACATTACGCGGTTAATGTAACCCGGAGGGTCCCGCGGAAAGTGAGGAACGCGTAAAGTGAACAACATAACATATGGGATTAATTGAAATGGAGTCCAGGCCGATCCCCAAACTCCACTTTTTGACGACACACAACTATGTTGTAGTAAAAATATTATCTTAACTTTATGATGGCATGCACACACAATTAATAATTAAGAGAAATATCAATAATATTAGGTTTTTTAACACTTACATTAGTAGAAAAGATGGCTGGGCACACGGGGATGGGCGGTTGGTTCCGAGGCAGAGGGCAGATTATTGGCCCTCACCTGTATCACTTGTATCAATTGTATCACTATCCACCACAGAGGCTTGCAGGGCCTCTTTGTCAAACCCCCCAAAGTTCATATAAGTCCATATCCTCACTATAATTATCACTATCACTGACTTGGGCCGGCTGTAGTGGGTGGCGGGTGAAGAACTGGTCATGTTTTGATGACTGGGCGACCTTGTGCGCACCATTTTCGCGCCTCTTACACAACATGGCGGATGGCGGGAGGTTTGGATCCAAAAATGGCGCGGCTTGCCAGCCGCTCTCCGCGTAATGGGGTTCACGACCGCGGAATGTGAAAATGTTAGGTTCTGGCAAGGCACCGCGTTAACGGTGAAACGCGGAATGCGGGACCGCTTAATGTGAGGACCAACTGTATATTATTACTTTAAGAAGATTTCTGATAAACAACACTATAATTTCGGTATAGCAAAAATGGAACAGTCAGCGCTAGCCTAATTTGATGTTCTGTAACAGAAGGGTAAACAAACTTTCATTAGTATAAAATTTTGTTTTAGCAATATCAGTAAACCCTCGATATCTTGGTAGTATTTGATAACTCAGAATTTCATATAACTCGGCACGGATATGGTCTCGGAATGTATTATAGCATAACTCGGGAAATGACGAGATATATACAATATATATCTGGGAAAATCTTGGCATATCTGGCGTGTGGGTAAGAGTGTATTGAACATCTCTTTGTGTTAACATAGTGTTTAAGTGAAAATACCCTGTACAGTAGTAGTATTTTAAGTGAAAATACTGTACAGTATTGTACTCAAGTGCTTAAATGAAAATACTTTGTACAAGTAAAATTCTTTATTTTATGCAAGTGAACAAATTACTGTACAGTGGCAGCAATTGAAATCTTTGCATTTTTGGCACAAATGATAAGTTTACACGGCGTGCAGTGTAAAGATTTTAATTGTGTTCCCGGGCATACACAAATGGGTGGAGCTTGGGATCACGTCACAGCCTCCCACACACCCCCAGCCACCACCCACCAAGGTCACTCGCTTGAGTGAGCCACGGTCTCTGAAAGAGAGAGGTGCAAATATACGTATCACCACCACCCGGCATTCTTCACTTTTGCGCCCACTTTGAGAGCCTATATCTCCACTCAGACTGAACAGAATGGGTCGCAACAAGCTCACAATAAATGAAAAAGCTCGGGCTTTAACCTAATTGGAACTGGGGATGTCTAAGCCTCTTCTTCATAGCCTCGGTGAGAAAAGGCTTCTTAGCTGTGCGCCGAGTCGGTAAACCGAGGTCTTTCTGGAGACGATGTTGTACGGTCCTGATTGCCACATGTTTGAGGAGGTCTGGGTGCTTTTTCTTCAGTGTAGAACCTGTTACAGCAGGATCAGATATCACTTCACTCTTCAGGATGTTGTCTGTCCTTGGTGAAGTCTTCCTAACTGCCCCAGATCCCACTTTCCTCTTCGGTATAGCGCTGGGTGGCAAGTCGCCGCTGCGTTTCTGAAGTGGTAAATGGCTTGCCTTGAAACTTAAAAGTCTGCGGCTACATGTATCACAGACATCCCCAGTTCCAATTGGGTTAAAGCCCAAGCTTTTTCATGTATGCCCGGGAACACAATTAGAATCATTACACTGCACGCCGTGTAAACTTTTCATTTGCTCCAAAAATGTAAAGATTTCAATTGCTGCCACTGTACAGTAGTACATATACTGTAGTACAGTACAGTAAACTGTACGTAAGTGCCTCCATTACTTCTGCCACCTGCGTCACCTACCCTGGAAAAATGTAGTACATATACTCAAATTTTTCATTTCTGTTTGCTTCATTTTAATGCCAAAGCCTGTAAATTTATTTTCACACCATATGTTCAATGTAAACCCCTTTCCCACCAATCACTGCTTGTATTTTAACAGCAAGCCCCAACCCTACACCCGAACACCACCCACACCCTAACATCACACTAACGCTCCCTCCAGCACCACCCACACACCCGCAACACGGGAATTAACAGAGCAACGCATCCAAAGTGATGACTGCTGTTGTAATGTATTGCTGGTTTAGTGCTTTGTTTTATAATATTTTATAAAGTGTAGGTCTTATTGTATGATATTTATTTGTATGTGATTAACTGATGCACAAGTCTGTGACTGCATGGTGGTGGGTTAAAGATCAGCTGTTGAGGAGTGCTTGGCAACACTCCTTTTCACTCCATCTCTCTAATCACCCACACCTTTCTCCTTTCTCACTCCATATTATAAAATTTTATGTAATGTAATGTTGCTCATTATATTCCATTTTGTGGGTAGATATCAGCGCAGTGTTACCAAAGAAACTAATAGAAGCATCACTTAGCATAATCTCCATCATAACTACCACTCTCCTCATCACCACTCTATTATCACCACCTAAATCTTAATTTCAGTGATGCAGAGATGTACTGTATTAGCTTCAGCTAGAGTAGAACTGTATGATATCCACTCATCCTTCCTACCCACACACCACATCTTGCACTAGTTCATCAAACGACTTTCATTCATGATACAATATTGTTTATTTGTTATTCATTAATTAGTAAAGATACATTACTGTAATAATCTGTGTTTATTAATACCTGCACCCTTCACATAATATGTGAAGGGTGCAGGAATGTATTTCTATATATGCAATGATATAATGACAATTCATAAATTAATTTTTTATTTTTTAATATAATATATTTCCTTTTTATTACTAAAATATACATTGTACAGGTATTGTCTTTAATGGGGATACTGTACAGTGGTCTAATCAGATTTCATATAGACCTAACTAGAGCTAATAGGTACGAAATGACACTTGGTGAGTGGGAGACTGGCTATTGCCACGATCGCAAGTTTATATTTTATGTTTTTTATTTATTCATTATGATAGTTTTGTAATAAGATCAGCCTATTATGGTGTATGTTTCATTATCTGTGTGAAAAAGATTTTCTTTATTTTTTTTTTGCCTGACATCTTGGCCAACTTAGAATTGTGTTAATGTTTCCAGTCTCATTCAAGATTTTGATTATCTCTATGAGATCTGTCCTATTATGGCTTGTCTGAAGAGTTATTAAGTTTAAGACCCTCAGTCTACTTGTATAATAGAGATGATACATTTCAGGAATCATATTGGCACTCATTTATTTTTCCAGAGTTGCAGGAAATGCTGGAGCAAACACACTTGCTCTGGCAGAAAGTTTGGGGTTAACAGAGAGAATTTCAAGCATCAACTATAGCCACGTGTCCACAAAGAACAGGATGATTCTGGTAAACTATTTATTATGTACACTGTATTTCAATTTATACAGTGGTCCTTCGATTAACGAACCCAATTGGTTCCACAGAGTCGTTTGTTAACTGAAAATTTCGTTAACGGAATCTATTATTTCATTGTGATATTGGGTAATTGGTTCCAACTCACAGAAAAAGTACATACAAAGTACTGTACAGTGGTACCTCGGTTAACGAGCACAATTCGTTCCAGAAGGTTGCTCGTTAACCGAAAAACTTGTTAACCGAAACCATTGTTTCAATGGGTTTTTGGGTAATTGGTTCCAGCTCACCGAAAATTACATAAAAACTAAAAATAAATGCAGTAAAGTACACTTACTTTGAGGTGTGTATGTAGAAGGCTCCTGGATGATGATGATGATGATGATGGGAATTAGAATGGGGGTGGAGGAGAAGGGAGAAGAGAAGGCATTGGGGTGGAAGAGAAGTCACCCCATGGCAGCATGGGGTGACTTCTCTTCCACCCCAATGCCTTCTCTTCTCCCTTCTCCTCCACCCCCATTCTAATTCCCATCATCATCATCATCCAGGAGCCTTCTACTCCTCTGCATAGACCTAGTCTCTCGGCGTAGCTGGCTGTACGCTGATTGGCTGGTAGGCGCGCAGCCGGAGCTCAGTTGGGAGTTGTAGGGGAGAGGAGCCACTACAGACCATAGGCCCCCAACTGTCAAACGTGTCACTGTCATCTCCCCCCTCCCCCCATCTTTCCAGCCAGGGTTGGGTGGTTATAGGCTTACAGTTTTTATCTTATATAATATCAGACTAAAGTTAGGAGGGTATAATTTGCCTTGCTAGAATCCTTGCAAGACAGTGAATAATTTGAATATAAACGTCATATATTTTGCACAAGAGATAAAATTTTTATCCCTTTGTAATAAAATTAGTTAGAACATGTCAGTTCAGTGACATTTTATAAGAGAAAAAACTTAGTCACTCTAAAGGACAGATAAATAAATAAGCACTAGACCTTGGCATCAACTGTCAAACATATCACCTCACCTCTCCCCATTAGCTGATCCCTTGTAAACAGACCATTTCACATCCCATAATTTTAGCTGTGTTGATTTATGAACGTTTGTTTAAACATAATACTACAAAAACAATGTTTTGTTTATTCTAGTAGATGGGCCGAGGTGTATCTGGGTACACTCTCAGTCTTTTTAGTATTTTGTGTTTCTCTCAAGTACCAAACTAAATTATTCCATTGCAACAACACTTCGATTTAGTGCAAATTCGGTTTAAAGCGACCTCTCTTGGAACGTATCTCGTGTTATATCGATGTTCTACTGTATGTAGGATGGTGTGTGCATGTAACCGGGTAAAAATAAATAAAGAAAGTTACTTATATCTACCTGAAAATACGAGTTGAAAAACACCCATAACTCCTCACAGCTTGGCCCAGTTGCCTGGTGTTTACAGTGACAAGTCTAACCTGGCTACAATGCTATGATTAATCACTATTAAGCACTATTATATCAGTAAACACTAATAATAACAGTAAATCCAGTGAAATGTGGCTTGGAGTGAGGAGAGTTATGTTTCCTGCCTCAGGCACCTGTGTCCCACATGCTGACACCTTTGCTACACAGGCTTAAGATGCTCTTTGCTCTGTTTTGGGATTGCCTCTTAAGGAGGCTTCTTAGCCCCTGGAACCCCCCAATCATATGAGAATATAAAACTTAATAAAGAAATAAAGATGATGAATGTGACAACTCCTGCCTGCTTACATACAGTGTCTTAGCAAATCTGGTAAGACCACTGTATGATATTCAGTGAACAAGTGTTATTCTTTTCATAAGTTTTTTTCCTTCAATTTAGCCTAGTTCTTATTATATCTGCTTACATAATTTTAACCCATTCTCTTAAAACCCTCTAGTATCCCCATTAAAGATATTATGTTCTCTACAAAAAAGTATGCAGTATATATATATATCTTTTTCTTTCCAGGTTGATGGGAAACTGCACATGCTTCCAAATAACCTAAAGACAGTTTTTACAAAGAACCCACCATTTTCAAAGCCTTTGGCCATAAGTGCACTGAGTGACTTCTCTGCCAAGAAAGTGATTAACACTGATGAAAGCCTCTTTAGCTTTGTAAATCGAAGATTTGGTTTAGAAGTTGCAAAATATGCCATTGATCCTTTGACAAGAGGAGTTTTTGCTGGCAATGCTCGTGACCTAAGTGTTACCTCATTAGCCAGAAGAATGCATGATGTAGAGCAACAATATGGGTCCATTCTAATTGGTTTACTTAAAGATAGAAAAAATGCTGAAAAGGCTGACCCAGTTCTGTCTAAATCTAAATTAGTTAAACAAGCAAAGAAGGAAAAATGGGCTGTCTGGTCTTTAAAAGGTGGACTTGAGAGTTTTGTTGAAGTTTTAGAAGAAAAACTTATGCAGGAAGGTGTCGAGTTCAGGAGAAACACACCAGTGCTTGGGATCAAGAGAAGTGGCAGCAACCTGGTTATCCAGACTGACAAAGAGGAATTAGAAGTTGAAAAAGCTATCTCTTGTCTTCCATCTAATACTTTAAGTCCTGTAATACGTTCTATCAGCCCAGAATTAAGCAGGCTCCTGGGTTCCATTCCTTATGTAACTGTCTGTGTTGTAAATCTTGAATATCCTGGTCACTTACTTAATGAGCCTGCCTTTGGTTACCTTGTGCCATCATCACAACCCAACAAAGTTCTTGGTGTAATATTTGATACATGTACTTTTCCACAGGGTGACAAAACTATACTTACAGTGATGATGGGAGGATATTGGTTCAAGACACTTTTTGGAGATAATCCTTCTGATGAGAGCCTTCTTGATGTTGCTATTAATGAAGTTAAAGAAACATTGAAAATTAGTATAAAACCAGTGCGTCATAAGATTAGCATCTTGACAGACTGCATCCCACAGTATGTTGTTGGGCATTCAGAAATAGTTTTTAATTCCCGGAAGCTTGTAAAAGACCTGAAGCTTCCTTTAACTCTCGCAGGAAATTCTTATGATGGTGTCGGAGTGAATGATGCAATTATGAGTGCCAAGAGAGCAGTTTTAAGTTTGTGAATGATAATTTTTATGTAATACTGTACAGTGCTGTGATAGGAAAGGGATTACAGCCAATTGGACATCAGTATACATTACTGTATGTGGCCTAATATTTCAATGTTATAATTGTGACTTGTGGGAGCAGTACATTCAGAACTATCCCGAAGGAGGGGGGGGGCACCTCAGCTGTCTCAATGGAGGTTGATGGACTGGCTATGCTCTTCATCGAAAAGGAACTGGCAGCAAGTTTGTGCTTTCATGAACCGACAGAAGAGTTGCTGGAAAGAAAGGAAGTTTAATTTTCATTACATCTAGACTGTCTATTGGCATTTGTCTTGTTTGTTACAAAAAATATAAACTAATGTTTTATTTCCCTGTACAGTATGTCTAATTTTAAGTATTTTCATAACTTTTAGGGGTTGCAGGTCTTTCATTTGTTAAATTTATTCAATTGCAAAACTGTAAAATTACAACCTGTATCTATTACTTTATTTTGTAATTGTTAAAATGAACCAGGATATTTATTTTAAATTTCATGACTGTATGCTATTATTTTTGTTAAAATATTTTGAAAATTTTTGGAAATATTTTTAAATTTTTTGTAAATGTTTTGGATATTTTTAATTTTAGGGGGAAATTGTTAGATATTTGGGGGAAAATTATGTTTTACTTGTTTATTTATATATTTTTTTTAATTTATGGAAATGTTTGAAACATAACTTTTTTTTTTTAATTATTTTATGAAAAAAAAAATCTGAAATTTTTAAAAACAAAGTTGAAAGATTTTGAAAATGTTTGACAAAATTTTGAAATTTTGTTGAAAATTATTAGATTTTTTTTTTTTTTATTTATTAGTTATTTTTTGTTAATTCAAATTGTTCAAAAATTTTGGTATTTTTTTATGTGTACAGTATTCTCATGTTGGTTAATAGAATTGGCCATAATATAAATTGTTCTTTTATTAAAATTTCCCATTTTCAATGATGAAATTTTAGTTTTGATGAAAATTTTCCATTTTCTATAATAAAATTTCCCATTTTCTATGATGAATAATTCCCATTTTCTATTATAAATCCCGTTTTCTACATTGAAAATTTCCCATTTTATGATAAAATTGTCTGTTTAAAATTTCCCATTTTCTATGATAAAATTTCCATTTTCTATGATAAAATAACGTTTTGGTAGTGGAGTGGTGTCATCTCCTACAACTGACTCTTGCTCATTGTTTGGGCCTTGTGCATGCTGGAGTGTTTGTTTTAGTTCCTTAATCTGTTTCTGTAATTCTTCTAACTCCAAGTATTGTCTCTCGTTGATCAGCAACGCCCGTTCCAATCTCTCTGCCAATGTGTCCCCAACTATGGTACTTTCCTGTTCTACTGACTCATCCATTTTGACCTAAAAATGCTACCCCTCGACCAAAGAAATATAGGAACCACTTAACACAACTACTATCCTGTATTAGTGCAACCTGAATTGATCAATGGTACAATACAACACTATGCAACACCTTAACATGGCACCAAAAATTGTAACTCACATCAACTGGAGACCGAAAGTCCTATGGTATTCCATAGGTGAACCACTTAACAAACATCAGAGGTGAACCACTTGAGACACTTCTCAGACACAGTGAGGACTCCCTTACTTCAACGCCAACAAGGTTAATCCACAACTTCTGCAATTATTAATACATATTAATGCTGGATAAAACACAAACACAAAACACATCAATGACACACATGACTTCAGTACTGTATAAATTTTCAAAAATTCTTCTTACATTTCTGTACTCAATCAATGTTATTCACCTGCAAGTATCACTCAAAAATCAGATTATCCATCATTAAAATACTTGTCTATATTTGCAACTTAAATCACAACTTCAATTCCCTCGGATTTGATCAATGATTAATAACCATCCCACCGCTGCCACCAATTTATACTGCCAGATTCTGGGGTCACTAAGTCTAAGGGGATAATTTAACTCTAATCTTAATTTTTAAGGGTCGCTGCCACCAGACCCCCTCTGGACAGCATGTAGCTCGTTAGGTAGCGTGCAGAGTGGACTAGGCATTGGGTTAGGTTTTCCATTGACCAGATCGATAAGGGGAAAGAAGGGTGAAACCATAACATGTCTTAAATGATTTATTCCTTATAAAACATACTGGTAAAAAACATATACATGAATTGGCCTTCCTCAGAAGAACAACGGAAATGTGGTTACCCAGATGGGCCCCAGACTCTTACATTGATGGCGTGTCATCCACCTACTTATTGCATAACAATCTGTGACCACCTTACCTCGGTCGTTCCTTCTTACAATATCCCTTAACACATCAGACTGCTCCACCTGTGTGGAATCTAGCACCGTCGGTTATCATACATAGTAGCACCATCTCAACACACCTGTTACACTCCATACCTG